ACGTCAAGTATGGGTAACAGGATAAGGTAAAGTGGGACGTTGTGGAACACCTTTCGTCTGACTTCTCTACTGAAACTATCAACTGATGTCCCTGCTGTGCCTCTGACCGGGAGGTCTTGGGGTTCGAGTCCAGATGCTGGCAGGATTTTCGACACTGGCTTGTCAGCTAGGTCGAATCCAGCCACTAACTGCAGGAGAATTCTGAAGACCGGCTCTCTGATCGGTAGTTTTCCGCGGTTTCTTCCATCAATACCAGGCGAAGGCCGAAGCAATACCCTAACAAACGGGCCACGGATCGCGTGCGACCTTTCTTCCTCTTCCTGGTCTTATTCTCACCCCTTACCTGCACATAACTACACTCACATGCTCTACATTACCACACAAGTCGAGAGCTCAGAGCTAGTCCCGGCAGGGCCGGTGCCATGCTGTCGGGAGATAGCTGGTTGAGGAAAATCCCCATAAGACGACGTAAGTCGGCGCCAGTTCTCGCCAGTCTGCGGGTGAAGATAACCGCCACCGCCAGCGAGAAAACGTACTACACTTACGGGCTTAACAATCTTATCAGTTGACGAAATCACTACTCAATCAATTTAGCGTGCGAGAACAAGAAAATACGGCGTTTGACCGCTTTCCCACTACTTTTCCCTTTCTTTCTTCGTGTTTTTCTATCTCGTTTCATTTTTGTTTTCTTTTGCGTTTTTATGGAATTTGTAGAGGGGGCTAATTGCAGGGGCCCAGGAGCAGCGGCCACTTCTTGTTTAATCCGTGCTTGTGTAAGGTAACACACACATAAACAAAAAGTGGGAATTCCAATGAAAGAAAGTGACTTTTGGTAATAGAAAAACAGAAGAAATCAGTGCGACGTGTCACTTCTACTCAACTCCCTAAAAACAAAAAGTAAAAAAGTGAGAATGGGAGATAGACTCGCCCGATGCACCCAAAACTGATGTCACAGACGAACTCCTTATCATGCCGAGTGGCTTTTCAGTGTACCTTCAATTTTGAAGGATATACCAGCAGCTAATTCGAAATTACTTAAAGTGATAGAAACTTTTTGAATAGACACGTTTCTACTTTTCAAAATTTATCAGAATTGACAGGAAAATGTGTAATAACATGATAGGTAGTAGGAGTCAATAAAATTATCAGAAAAACTATTGTTTCATTTTTGGATGGTTGGTAGACAAGATGGGGTTGGTTGGCACTGTGCCAACTCGAGCCGGAAGAAACGTATTCTATTAATCGATCGTTCCCACTGGTTAGTTTCCACAGTCTTGGAGGGTAAGCGCGTTCCATAAGGACTACTCCATATCGATCACTGCCTGCGAAATCTATACTTAAATCCCTGTGAAGAATCAGAATTATCGGTATCGTTTATTCTCGACAGTATCAGCGGAGCGAGTACGGTGCACGATTTTCTGATAGTTTCAGTGTGTTTCACTATTGAAAATAAGTGCTATTGAGAATAATAAGGGGAGATGAGAGGGCAGAGAAAAGCCGTGCCCATGGCCCATTTGTTAAAGAACTTCTCTGGCAGTCGCCTGGTAGTAATCCGAGAAGCCACAGAAAACAATGCCATGAGCTTTCTTATTGCCAGGCCCTAGTAACGAAAAAGTGAATAAATCTTGTTCCCAGCGGCTGTCAGGGCTTCTCTAAAATTCTTTCCGTTCTGGACATCTTTTTTGCCCAATTCTATGACCACATCACCAGATCGGGTCTCCCGGATTGCCCGAATCTCGGGTTGCGTATCCTCCGGATTTACTTTTTCCTTCAGCCGGGCGACAACCTCGGCGTATTGCACTCCCTTTGCCGGTTTGACAATTACCACTTCAGGTTGGTTCTTGCTTCCCTCCTGGTTTGGTCGCGGTTCTTCGTTTTATTTTCGTGCGCCACCTTTCCTCAGTACCCTGATAAAGCGCCCCTTCGTCTTCTTTTTCTTCTGAATCAGTCTCCCTTTCGTTGTCCCTCTGTTTCCTGAAGAGCATCGTCAGCCACATCTTTAGCGGTCACCTGGGGACTGGCGGCGGCTTCAGCGCTCTGAGGAGTCTTCTGTGTCGGCGTGGGTACCATATTCTGTTGTTTTTTCATTGGCTTGTCTGCTCCAGTGTGCTTTCCAGCATTTCTTCTAATTGTAGGAGGCCGTTCTTAATCGGTATCACGGTGTTTTTGAATAAGGCGCTCTGCATTATTTTTACCAGCTTTTGCATATTTGAAAGAGGCTCCTTTTCTTTTCTTTCGCTGCTCTAGCATGGGCTAATAAAGCCTAATTATAGCTTCATTATTTTCAGTCTCATTCTCAAATGAGAAATTCATGTCTATCTCTCTCTCACGGAATGATAAATCATCAAAAGAATCAGAGGAAATGTCTTCATTAAATAATTTCTTTATTACTTTCTTTGATATATGGCATTTCTTTATCACACTGTTTTCCGCTTTCTTTCTGAGTTCTTCTCTATTAGGAGGGGAAGTTAAAATTTTAGACTTTGCTTGTGCAACCACTTCGCTACTCTTTTCTTGGACCTGCTTATGATATTGATTTTTCTGGAGATGCCACATCATCATTGCTTGGCCCAGAAGTTGGGTTTATCTCTCATCTAGTAGAGTATACAGGGATTTCATGAGTAAAATGGCCTTCCATTTGATCAGTCTCATATGAACATAAGAAATCTTCTGGTGAAAAAATGTTATCCTTTAAAGGGCAGATTCCTGAAGCACGAAACCCATTGCTTATATTCTTTGGTGTGAAAGCCAATGAAAATGCTTCTCCCAGTAGCCCACAAACTTGATATATAAATACAAGTGTGCCAGGATGGTTTTGCATCCAATTGTCTCATACAGTTGTTAAATTATTTTAATGATCCAAATACACTTACATCTAATGGTTGGAGATTATAGCTACAGTGAGGAGGCAATATTAAAAGCACACAATTATCATTTGCATAGATACTACCTTGCCAACTAAAGTGTCTGAATGTTTGTCTCAGACAATTAGTTTAGACTTTCTTTGCTGGGCCTTTTGTGCTCCACAAAGGTTAAACACTGACAAAAATATTTTGTTACTCAGCCACCTGGAAAGATATGCAACCAGTTCCAGGTTTCTGATCATGCGCTATTTAAAGTGCACTTTAAGGAAAGTTAGATAATTAGTTCTTTCCTGTGGCACAAATAATGCTCACTAGAGTGACAAGAACTCTCTCACATGAAATCATTTGATCAATATTTTTTGTTCCCTTATAGGCCAAAACTTTTAGAGGCTTATGAACTGAAGGTTAAGGCAGTTTCATCTAGGTTATAAATATTTTGAAGTAAAAAGTCATGTTTATCCAATCTTTCTTTTACATTATCATAAAATATTTTGACATTGGCTTCATTAAAACCAATTGTTTGCTCAGGAGCTGTGATAGGGAGTGTTGCTTCATGAATGCTCAGAATAATTGCTTTTGCCTGCTTTCTTCTCTTTCCTGCATACTAGCATTTTCTTTTTATTCATGTGAACAAATTATAGGCTAAGTGTGATATGAAAATTTCACTGACAACCCATAATGAATATCTCCACATTTCTTCATGTAATTTGATAAGTTTTCCCCATGAACTGTAAATATTTTCAAATGTGATGATCCAGGATTGAAATCAACCTCATCAATGTCACCTTGTCATCCTCTAAAAACATACCTTTGCAGTTTCCTTCAGAATGCCAGGCTCTTTACTTAAATTTCTAATACTTAATCCATTTTTTCTAAGGCTTTTGCCACAGTCACCTTTAAAACAGTTTCAGGGTAATTCCTGTTATTTGTAGTCCTAATTCTTACACAGGACTAATCTGGAAAAATAAAATAAGTAATATAAGTAACCATTAACTCAAATTTTAATTTAAAACCATTATTCATCAAGACTGGTTCAATGGGCTATGTCTATATAACCCCACAAGGAATGATCCATCTAACCCCAAAGGGACTTCCACGGAAGAGGTCAGAAAACCTGTATGATTGAAGAGGTTTTAAAACATGAGAATACAAATGAAACATCTTATCTATATAAATTATTTATAAAATATTAGTTTTATTGTAGAATATATAGTTGGAAGACTAATACAACAAAATTATTGAAATAATTACTCTTACCTAATATAATCACAAATTTTCAAGTGTATCTAGCAGCAATAATAGTAACACAAGTCTATTCCAACAATGAATGCTCACAAGCTTCTAGATAAGTTTTAAAATAAGGCACAAATTTTGAATTTTAAAGCCACTAGCTCATTTAACCCCACTCTACCATATTGTATTATTCATATGTAATTTTAATACTTACATACTGGTACATATATATTTAACTTCACACATAATTAAATTTGTGGTTTCTTTTATATGCAAGTATTACAGTATTTAACATTTTCTGTACCTTGTGTGTTAAATTTCATTTCATTAAATAATGTTCTTTTTCCTCTGACATCTTTTACAAAATTTCTGAGCTTTATCAAATCACCCGAAAAGACTTGATAAACAATTTTACCCTTTCGTTATGGCATTGAAGAGACATCAATATCAAGAGATTCAAGGTAGGTGCGTCAAATGAAAAGCCCATGTCTAAGACATTGAAAAATGCCAGGAAAGATCTGGAATGCAAAAAATACTAAGATAATAACAACTTACTGAAATGCAGGAAGTTCTGTTCTAAATGTCATAACTTACATTATCTATCAGTCAAACAACATCATCATAACTTATACCACATGCATTGTCAGATATTAAATTTTCATCCACTTCTTAGTTTTTCAATTTTTTTAATATAAATCATCCACATACATCCACAAATGTGTGTTCTATAAAATAGAACTTGGGCTATAGGGCCTATTGTTTACTTTTATACTTAATCTGAAAAAAATGAGGTTTAAAACCTACTACAAATTAAAATATACTTATATTGATTTATCATCAGCAATTTAACAAATACTGTCCAGGAAAATAAATGTAGGAAACATGAACAATGGAACAGTTCAATTAAGGTTTGTGTTTTTTTCTCTCTTTTTATTTTCTTTAAGAATGGTAATACATATATACAAGACAGGCTTTTAATTTTTATAAATAGCAATAAATGCTTTAAATTACAGCCAATATAAGAAGTTTAAACTTCATTTTTAAGTAAAATATAGCAATGCATCCACTCCGAGTTCTTACATCTCAATCCCATTTATTATTTTCATTCAATTTTAATATGAATGAATAAGTCCTGAAAATGCGATCACACTTTTGAAAAATTTCAACTATTTTAGAAGTCAAGTACAGCATAACATGATTCAGTACTTCAAAATTTAATCACAGAATAAATTGTAGTCATATATCTTCAATACACATCACATTTCTTCTCTTACATACCATAAACAGCATAAAATAATTAAATGCATTAAGCAGTTATGATTGAAATTAACTATTGCATAAGTAACTGGTTCTTTATAGCAACCACACACACAACACATTCCAGTATCTCATAACTATATTCATTTAACATTAAAATAATATACAATATAAAATAAATTGAACAATATACATATACTATAATTTTCTTACTTACATATCCAGTTCCTAAGAACTTGTTTTATGAATGAGACCTTACTCGCTTCATTTCCATAACACATATATGCACTATTGTCTATGTATATGTAATAAATACAATTCATTTGCACATTATATTTCTTATGATAAGTTTCTATAAAATATTTCGTTTACTTCATGGAATAATAGTCTCAGCATAGGAATTATCCTTCATTATGGAGCAGTTGAAATGTATCTTCATCAATATCTATGGTATTGCACATAAATTTTCAAACTTCTTGTATTACAATAATATTTTAACATTTTATTGAACTTCTGTGCTGCTACATGTGATAGTTCTGTTGTGAAATAACTTCCAATCGCAATGAACTATAAATTTATTACAAGTTTATTATATTTATAAGATTTTTAAAACATAAGAATTCAATCTCATTTCAGAATTTTGGGAAATTTCACTAGTACTATCATATTATAATTTCACTGATACTTTTAGTTGCACAAAATATGAAACAATAGAAAATTTCCATTGTAATGAGAAAATTTCCTTCTTTGTTCATTTAATAATCTTCCAAAATAAGCAAATGTCAACTGTAGGAAGTGAAGAACAATTTAATTGCAAAAGAGGACCTATTAACATTCTTATCAAGATTTTTTTACACTTCATATCAAAGCAATTACCTCTTCTTTTCAAGAGATGTCACAATTTATTATCAACAACATTTGGCTGATGTGAAGGTTTTCATTCAGACCAGAAATTTGTGGTTGATTATATATAAAAATAAAAGTTGTGCAACCAAAGTTAAATTTCCAAATAAATATAAGATGTATTTAGTTTATTTTCACTTTTGATGAATAATAGACAAGATTGCAGTCAAATTAAGATTTTAAAATAAACACATTTTCTTTTAATTACAAAATTGCATTCAACTTTTTTAAAAAAAGTTATGTTCGCAAAGCAACCACTTATGAAATCCTACAATAAACAAAAATTGGAAGATTTTATTATTGTAGCTTGCGCATAGTAGAACTTCTTGTTTACTTTCTCCTTGTCCGAATTTCATGATCCGTTCAAACAACAATAAAAGGCATTTGATATTTTCCTACTAGTATCTGCTTGAACAGAATATAAGGAGCACTGAAGCCAATATATAATTATCACATCAAATGTATCACAAATCTATCACAAATCTTGATGCAGCAAATACACTACACAAATGTCTCACCATCTGTTTTCTTCTAATTTATACCTATTTTATTTGTTTGTTGTTTGTTTACATTCTAATAACACTATACAATTCTGCACAAACACATTACATCAACAATGTTAATTTTGCTGAATTCTATTTCACAAAAAAGCAATGCAAAAAAATTGGATAGTAACTTCATGCAAAACCTTCAATAATGGTCTAATGCTGATCATTTATCACTCCTTAATCTATTTCCAAAAAAAGAAATATGATAAGAGGATTCACACCAAAGCAAGTTACACATTAAGACTGCAGTAACATTTTCATAAAAGTGAGTATTTATTTTATGAAAATATCTCTGGATCACGCATTATGGAAGCCCTCAAAATAATTGAACTTAGTTGAAATAAAATGAAGTAAATATTTGTGTGTAAAAATCCACAAAGTCAACTTATTCACACCAGAATAAAATAATTCAAATAAAAATATATTGGTAGATAATTTGCTTTATGAAGTTTGCTTGCATTTGCTTATGCTTTGTGGTTAAAAGTGGAATGTAAACAGCTTCTCTTCATGTAAATCATAGCAAAACAGTATTTTTTTTTTTTTAAGTAATTGAAAACTGCTTCCAAATGCCTCTTAAAAGCGTGTAACTTAATTTGAAAAGCTTCTATGCATTGGAACATACAAGAAAATAATTTTTCACATTATGTTAATTCAATTTTTAACATTTGTGCAAAGACTTAATTCAATACTTCGTGTAATGTCACTAGAAAACTATTATTTACACATACCAGATACGTATTTTCACTTGAAATGATGTAAACTCCTTGAGATACAATCAATCTTGCCTAGCACTCATGCCTACACATGCACATGCTTTCACACATTAACAAATTACATATGATGAACTTTCAATGGAGCCAACACATTGAAAGGGAAATGCAGCTTCCATACATCTTTTTCTTGTGAACTTGCCACAACTCATTCACTGAATATATCATTACTAGGATTGGTCATATTCCATTTTCGTTTATGCTGATCAAAACCAAAACCTTCTTCATAATTTCCTTTGGCAATAAACAGTTGTTTAAAATGAGGAATGCAATACAGTTTCTCATTATTAAATGTGTAAGTCTCCATTCTGAAACAAAGAAGGTTAAATATATTTTTCCGTATAGTGGAGTAAAAAGAATAATTTGAAAATGATTATCTTAGTTTAAAACAATCTCACAAGAAGAAACTTTCATAATTCCGCTAACTATTCTAAAACTAATTGTTAAGTTAATATTCTGAAATTAAGGTCTGTTGTAATCAGGATTCTGATTCTGATGATCTAAAAATTCATTGAAACCGACCAATAAAATTACTTAAAAATAAGAGGAAAAGGTCCTATAAAATAATGTCGAAATAAGAAGAAATTATCAACATTTTTAAAAAAAAAAAAAATTCATGTTTAGTACTCAATGAATTTTTCAACATTAAATAACCTGTATTTATATAAAATTATATTTCATACAATCTTAATTTAAGGAGGAAATCTAATCCTCAGCTCCGATCTTCCAACTGTCAGTTTTGAAATGTCAAGGAAGTTACAGAAGATCTGTGTAGTTTTGAGAGTTGAAAAAAACAAGAGTCCACTGCAGTAATAAATTTCGTCATGAACTGATGATGCAATAAAAACTTAGTTTTAGTGTGTCATTGTAAATTCATGATACATTCACTAACATAAAAAACATTAAAAGGAAACAAAATTCATAAAAATGACATATGAAAAATGATCCATCTCCGATATACAACTGGGTATGAAAATTGCACCAAAATACAGTTGACTCTTGATAAAGTGAACCAATGCCATTGGTCCCAATCCACGAACAATACAAAGAAAAAGAAATGGAAAAAAGAAGAGAAAAGAAAGAAAGAAAAAAATACATACACGATTCTACACATTGGATATAATGAACAAAAAATAGTGCAACTTACGGGGGAATAATACTTTGCCTCAGGTCCAGGAATTCAAATTACCTAAGGGCTAGCAGATTAAGAATCTCAAGTTACATATTTTTGTATCATATGCAGGAGACAAAAGGGACTGACGGGAACAAACCACTAAAAAAAATAATTTCAGCTTATCTATAGCAATCTGACAATCCTTAAAGAGTGCATCAACACAAGACTGCAAGATAAAATTAGTAAACTCCCTTTTGGCTAGGACATCATTATTGTTGTGCAAGGGTCTTTTAGAACAGAAGAAAATAAGTAAGATCAAGATGATACAAACAAAGAAAGGGTTCCCAATAGTACAAGAGTCAAGGGTGTAAAACCTATAGAAACAAGGCTGGAGAAAGGGCAAATTCTGGAGAAGGTTTTGAAAAAAATTTAATAAAAATATGTACAAAGCAAACTGTAATAAAAATATTTTATAGCTAAATAAATTTGGAAATTTTGAATTAGTGGTGAACAGATAATTTGCTAAACCTCTAAAACACCAAACTGAATCATCTTGATGTATATTTTATTTTAGGTAATTAGATATAGTGAACCAAAAATGTAGATCACCAGAGGCTCACGATAACATAAGTTGCCTGTTCTTATAAAATTCTCTCCTATTTGTTCATACTTTTCTGCTTTCCTGTAGTTGAGATGTGAAATTAAATTCCTTAAGAGTTGTAAAAATTGTTGGCTTTGAGCAAGGGGTTGTACTGCCTTAATGCTACCATTTTATGAACTAAGAACTGAAAATAAACTACATTGTCCTTCAAAATTGACTGTTTGGCCAGAGGTTTAGTAAAATATCCTAAAACAGAAAAAACTTTAGCCTCAAAATAATAGTGTTTATTATCATTTGCTACCAGCAAAGGCGGCTCAGGGTATTAACTACAGTTCCTCTGACCACGAGGTGCTAGGGTTCGAGCCCTGACAGTGACATTTTTGATTCTAACATCATAGCTAAATTGAATTCTGCTGCTGTGCGGAGGAAAATTCTTGTAGTTGGCTGTTCTGATCGATAATTTTCCATAGTTTTTCCAATCATCACCAGCAGTACCCTGACAAACAAGTTATGGACTGAGTGCAATCTTTCCTTTCTCTTTCTTGTCCTATCTTCACCCCTTACTTACACTCACATGCTACACTATTACACTTGTCAGGAGACCAGTCAGGAGCTTAAAGTTTGTTCTGGCTGGTGCGGTGCTCCGTTGGTGGGAGATACCCGATTGGAGAAAATCCCCATAGGTTGGTGCCAGTTTGTGAGGATCTTGTCAGTCAGTGGGAAATATCTCTGCCACCTCTGATGATGAAAACATGCACTACATTCACGGGACTAATGACCTTAGCAGTTCATGCATTCAGAATTACTAATCAATGAAAACCATTTCCTATAAATAGTTTTGATTCAATACTTTTTGCAAATTCTCCTTCAGATACCATGCTTTCTCCAAACTTCATTCCACTCCCTCAAAATTTTTTAGTAGTCCTGGTTCGTTTCAATGGCTCTTGCAGTGTTAGAAACTTTTCTTCATTAGTAGCCTCCTCACACTCTTATTCTTCTAATCTGGAAACCCCTTTTACAGAATTTATGATGTCCTAGCCAGATGGAATTTCTGGATTTTTCATCTCGCATTTAATTTTCAGGCCAGACATTTGCCATAAAAGAGCTGAAACGATTTCCTCAGGCCCTATTATTCACTTTGAATCTTACAAAAATAACTCATGAGACTAGCAAATTCTTAATGGTTTTGGAACTCACAGTCCAGAGGCAAAACTTTCTTTTTCTGGAAGTTGTGTTTCCTACGCTCACTAACCCCTCATGTGAAGGTTTCACTGTTTACATTTTACAGCATCTATGGTTTATTTATAATGTAAGTTCACAACGTGAGAGTTCAATATTCCCACAGTTTACCGTATTTATGAAATGCAACAGGTATTAATTTGAAAAGAGTGCACTTCATGCACAACAGAAAATAAAACACACTTACCGCAAAACACAATTGCACTGGAGGCATCTAAAGCATTGCTTATGAAATATTTTACCACTCGTTTCTACTTTCTCCAATGGATAAACTTTTTCATTACACGTGAAGCAAAGTGGAATGTTAGCAGCCTGTATTTCCTAAAAATAGAGAAGAAATTGATTATACTATAGCATTATGTAGAGAAGTTTTCACATTGAAGGGCAAGAAGTAATCTACAATACTCTTGACAATAAATATTTTTATTGTATAAGCAAACACTAATTTATACTAATTTAATTCAAAATTAACTCACCATAGCCTATCCAAACACCAATGCCTCCAGACAATAAGAACCACAAAAAAAAAAAAAAAATTGACTAAAGCACAAAGCATAAATCTCAACCAAGTAACGACTGAAAATTAGCAAGCAAATGAAAGCTGATGATCCAATATGATAATCTATTTTGAACAGCTTTCATGCTTGTTGCTCCCACAAGTCATGAACTGTTTAGAAATAGTTTCTTGTTTTAAGCTATGGTACTATAATATGAATGTATCAATATGTGTGCAATTGATTTGTGTATTAACAAGAAAGAAATGTTTACAATAAGAACGGACAGTTTACTTGAGTTTATTGAGCACTACAGATAGAAAACAGCAACTGTAGAAAAAATTTCAAACACTACATAAAAGGTAATCATTATACAAAGTCACTCAAGTTGGCACATTTGAACTACTATTTACCCTTATATAAACACACAAAATCAAATCAAATATTTGCTTGGCACTTGGTAATATAAATATTATAATATGAAATGGGAACAAAAATATGTCCATGGAAATCCACAAACCTGACCCTTCTCAACAGTGTAATTTACACCTAACACTGCACCTGAGAAGTTCAAAGTGTTAAAGTACGATTTAAAAAATGAATATGAGCACATATCTGAAATAGAGCAGACTGTTTTCATTTACAATGTTTAACAAATTCTATTGTATTGCGACCCTTATGTGCTATCACTGGTTACCCCATTTTTGTACAGACAATTTGGAAAGTCCACAAAATGAATGAAGGTTACAATAAATTTTGAAATCTCATAATGTTATAAAAATAAAATGGCCACAAATATAGGTTACTTGTAAAATAATAAGTAAAATGAGGAAATACCTGTAAGTTAATCACTTCTTCATGAGAAAATCAGGAATTGTGCATGTCAGATAGCCCTTTTGTAATCAACCAAACGCAGATCAACTATGAACAACTACTAATATGTTTACGATTTTTCCAATATCGCTAAAAGAAAATTTCAGTTAGAATGTTCATTTGTCAATTATTGTGAATGCAAAATTTATTCCTTTCATACTCATAACAATTTGTATTAGAAGCAAACATACATCCATTCCATCTACATATTCTCTATACAAGTTTGCTCTTCATAAATGAAGTTAGATTGTGTCATATAATAAAATTCTCTTCATGCAAATGAGATATTGTATTTCCTACCAAAGTCTATAATATTCAACACGGGGATAGCACATAGTATTTTGTCTGTTGCCTTGGGTTTACACAATGCACAATATGACAAAATCATGTATATTTGAACAACTTGATTTTGATTCATTACCGTAATTAGCATTTTTCTTTTCTTTTGTGAAAACATTACAGATCAAATAATGACATTATAAAACAAAAAATTTAAAATGAATCATTTAACAGTTTTGATGCATCACATTCAGCAATTCTGATGCATGCAATACAGCTGTTATGATGCATGCAGTATTATATCTACACCTAATGTAAAATAATGTTGGAATCTCTCACAAGACCTTCTTCTTAAGTGGTGTCAGTGTCATGACTAAGCCACAAAGTATTAGAAATCTGCAAAACTAGTAATACAGTGTGTACTTGAGAATAGTCTACTTATCACTGTAACAATATGTCTCTTCCCACATCATTCTCGAGGCTTCAACGTTTTGCTTTTGAAACTAATTTAATCTTTTTTTTTTTTTCTTTTCTTCTTTTTCAAACAAACATTCATTATGCACCAAGAGAAATTTTTACGGTGTTTGTCATCAAGTGAAGGGACCATCTTACATGCACAAATGAAAGTCTAATATTAAATCCTATCTATCTGCTAAAAAATGAAAATCAGGAATGAAATTGTATAAATATGGCCTTATGACAAATTCAAGATACATTATGTTCAGTTGTGCCTTTCAATGTTGTGAATAAAGAACCAGATGTTTTAAGTACTATGAAAGTTTATATGTCAATGGAACTCATATTCCCTAAAGCTATAAAACCTACACCACGTCTAAGTACATCAAAACAAAATGGCCAAAGTATGTAATAGAAGACCAAGATGAAATAAGTTCAGATGCAGCTTCTGAAGAAGCAAAGCACAAAAAGAACAGTCTCATGTTTTATGTTATGATTGAAATGCTTTGTTTCATAAGAAGAGTAACCCATTTCAATTTGTTCATTTTATCCTGTCTGCAGGTTTCATTGTCACTGTGCGAGGAAGATAACCATAAGGTGTTAATATATTTTATATTATGACACAGAAAACTTATTTCACAGAAAATGGTATTTTATCAATATTTCTTGCTAATTAAAACTGTACACCTATTTATCTGTAGGTCAGAGAGAAACACATGATTCTGTAAGAGTCCAAAAGCTTTTAGTGCAATATATTACATTTCAGAAACCACTAAATTTAACTAATGGAAATTAAATGCAGCATATTGAGCTTAACGTATAACCAACATTATCATGTTTTAACCCTCCAACTGTACACCAGAGCCTTCGTGAACCTGCTCAAATACATATCCCCTACGCACGCACCACTGGCAACGCAGGTTGCTTATGTGTAAATTAATCGTAAAATCTGATGTGTTAACAAATGAAAGATCACCAATCTGTAGTTTAATCTACGTAATTCATTGAAGTTTTAGCATCTCTGAGTGTCATTCTGGAGCATGTAATTATATTAGAAATTCATCACAGAATATTCAAATATATTTTGAATAAATAATGTTCAGATGTTACCTATATTATTATTTTTTTGTTTATATAAACTCTTCCACAAGAGTATCTTCTGTTGCCAAACAGCCCATTCATAACAATAAAAATAGAAAATAACAGGGTCTGCCTGACCCTGGTGTACAGACCACGTAACAAAAACCCAGGTGTACTGACAGAGGGTTAAGAATATATACAGCCCTATTGGTAATACCACACATTTTGGAAGCCTCACGTAAGAAATACAATTTATGAAATTGATGATACTGTCCTTGGTAGTAATCTTCCCACTTTGCAATTTTGTATGTTAGGTATTTATTTTTAAACCATAAATTTAAAGAATACCAAATGATTTTAATTCAAAATTAATACTTTGTATTTGTTCTATTTTTGTGGTGCTTTGAAATGAGGGAACCACAAAATTCATAAAAATAATTACAAAATTCACAAAATAAGTTCTTCTGAACGGCTACTAAACTGCATAAATTATTCTTCAAAACTTACATATTTTAACAGTAAGCACAAATCAACTAAGTTTTATGAACATTATACTAGTACAGGTAATGTTCAACAATTGCTTACAGTCTTGGTGACAATAACAAGCATTTAGAAAATACAGGATAGTACATGAAAAGAATCACATGACTTTAAATTACATGAAAGTAATATTGTACATTAAACTTTACATTACATATAATAACAGCATTACAAACCATTTTGATATTTAGATATTTCATATGAATGCTAAAAAAGTAGAAAAATAAAAGTAACAGTAACCCAACAAATGCATCACTTAAGTATGACAATGAGGATCACCATAACTACAAAATAATTATAGCAACAGTATATGTGAATAATTAAGTAACAGTAACAACAATGCCTAGATTAGCTAATACATTTTATTCCATAAGCAATTGTTAAAATATGTAATATAAACATGAACATCAACTTTTTAATTGTTACACAACTTATTAATGATTTCCATGTATTTATGTTGGGAAAGAAAATTTATCATTAAGTTCATCTTGTGGTTTCCAGTATCAGTCTGCTCAGATCAGCTCATGCTTCTGGTTTCTTCATACTGCACATCTTCCATTCCTTCTGCTTCTGTTAGTAATGCTTTCACGGGTGATCACATGATTTACTAAGAAAAGGAAAAACAAATTTAATTGTAGAAGACAATATTTCATAGAAAAATTACGTCCTCTGATGTTCTTGTTTAGTACTACACATCAACATGCTCATGCATTGCAAAAATAAAGAAGGCAGCACATTAATGGATGCACAACATAGTTCTCAACCACTTGTGAAAATTTCCATATTCTTTTGTAGCATCAGTCATTTTACAATAAGTTTCTTACGATAGCTGAAACTTTCTTCTTGAGTTTGCTGAAGATATCTTTTCCAGGTGAAACATTCACATCAAGTCACATTCCTCCATATTTTTCATAAAACTTCATGTACCAGCGTCTTCTAATTTCTTCAATAGCATCAATACACTAAAATATTGTTATTAATTTCTTCAGCAAATAATTCTGGATATTTACTTGTTCTCTTTAAGAATTATCAGTTCAAGACTTTTTCAGTTCTTGATAGGTTTAAAGGTTGATAAGTTTTGAAAATATTAAATGTCAGAAGTAATTTCTTGATAAAATCTGCTATAACATTAACTACAATTTTCATGCAGGAATGGCAACATTAGTAAAATAGTCAACAGTACAATTGCTGCATCCACGAGGCATGTCATGCAATTGCGAACTGAAAGTAACAAATCTTATTCATGCAATAAATTTTCTTCAAATTGGACACAAGAATTTTAGTAGACTATATGTTTTAACTAAACATTTAAACACGATGTAAAATAAAAGTAATTCCCAAAAAAACATCCTCCCCAAATCTTGACAGTTAACTATAGTATTTTGTTTAAAGCAAAACTTATTTCCATCAGATGATATTTTCAGTTTCTATTTACAACCGTTTTGAATTTCCACTTCATTAAATGCTTATTGATTTCAAAAATTATTTGTCCAGTAATGCTTCACACAAATCTACTTGGTAAACATCTACTAGATTAAAATAGTAGACTTATATTAATTTGATTCATCAATGAAAAAAAGAACAACAAAAGATGTTCATTCACTTCACTTCACAGGAAACTTTATAATGCTAGGCAAGTTGTACTATTAAAAAAAAGACACCATTATAAATAAAGAAAGATTTTTTTTTTAAAATGTTCACACATTTTCATTTTCTGCTGGCATATTAATTTAAAATTTATGAAAATATTATGTTTTCATAATTTATTAATAACTCAAATTTTAAAGTGGAACAATTGGAAAATTCCATGAAAATTTATCTTAGTTCTATATACACAGAGAACAGAAAAACTTGTATAATCTATTAGTTCAAAATTTAAAAAAAGTCCTTTAGTACTAACAGATAAGTCTCCCATTCGCAGATTGAACCATCTATATATAAATAGGAAGCACTATTTTTCTGTATACTTCACAAGAACAACCAGCTCAGCAGATTGACTTAGAAACTGTCTTGTATTGAAGATCACGGTCCACAGGCGTGCAAAAACTACTTCAAACGAAAATAATTTAGGTCTAAATATTAATAACTAGGGGCGGATTTTGCTGACCTAAATAATCACTAAAAATGATCAATAAAACATTCTTAAAACGTATTAAAAATGACCTAAAAGCAAAGAAAAATGATGTAAAAAATTTGAACAAAACCAGTTCAGGTAAACAACTCAAGATTTCGAATATGTTACTGATGTAATCGAGACTTCTTCCTTTTAACCCAGACTACTCAGAAATACTGTGGAGAACATTTGTTGCATCTCAAATATTATTTGAAGCACGCACTATTAAAATTATTTTAAAACCTATGAAGTCATGAAAAAATGTTTTAAAAATTATGGAAAAAAGGTAAATTCATTAATCAAAATTAACAAAATATGCAGAAAAATGCCATATAAAAATGAGTAATATCCTTCTGTCATAACCTAAAATGATGTCTATATTAAAAGGCATTGTCATAAATTGAAAAGTTAAAAAATGTTTCATTAAAATCCGCCCCATATTAATAACCGATAGTGAAAAATTTAATTTCAAAACAGCTGCAAGCACCTGGAGCATACAGTTCTATGATGAGCAGCACAGGTTTCCCATTATTACTGGAGTGCAAACCCAGCACTTTTGTTCTGTACATGTGTGTTGATCGTGATGTACTAATAAAAATATGTCAATTGCATGTCATTGCAAGGAACTATATAACGTTGCAATTTTTCACAACTGGTTCTGCTTGTGACATCTTAAAGTCACTCAAAAAGAACAGGTTTATTGACGTGTGTGTGTTTTTAACTTTCAAATGATCTGTCTGGTTGACTGTTGGCACGACTGCCAAATAAATTCATGCACAGGAGGCAAACTCACACCTACTTTAATGTGAATAGGGAAATACTTTTACACATTTTATGGTGACATGAAATATCACAATGAAAGCATTTGAGAGAGTTACAGCTAGTAAATAATTAGAGTACAAAGCACAATCTTTGTCTTCCTTTTAGTCCTTACTCTACAATACTCAAAGTAAAGCTGGTCAGAAAAATTGTTAACTTTTAGACAAAAACATTTTCGTATTTATGTAATCACAATTGAAAGTAACCTCAATAAAGTTAAATTTACATTTGAAGTAATTTGTCTGTCTCAAATAGTTGCATTTGGAAAAGGAAGAAAGTTAATATTTGAGTTTTAACAAACCATTCTCAGTTTACTATTGCATGAACATGTGTTCAATTACTCTACCAAACACACCCATTTGTATATGTCCTCACAAATTCAAATTCACTCACACAATGACACTGAGTGCATGTGCACATAGGCACGCACTCACATACACCCACACAAGTGTGCACACGCATAAAATGACAAATGCGGACACAAAGACAGAAGCGGGCACCCCCCCCCACACAAACACTAAGAATTTACTTTTGAATATAAGTATGCATAACATATGCACGCACACACATACACACGCACACCAAAAAAACTTGAGTGACAAAAGCATAGAAATAATTTTTTAAACAAGGAAGGCAAAAATAATTAGAACAGATAAATGAAGTAACTATAAAAACCACTACATTGCAAACTAAACCTTTAGAACGTAATAAAAATAATATCCTTTTGATTTGCATTGTTAAGAAAAGAAATGCGTAACACTAGCTTTCAGAGATACTATACTATATATCAATTCCTACAATACAAATCAAGCTTTCATAATTGTGTACGAAACATCACGAAAAGCTAACAAAACACATACACGTAACGTTTATATGATTTGAAAAATAATGTGGCCTCTTTATATTTTTACCAACTTTCTCCATGCATGAATGAATTTGAATTGTCATTTAGAACTTGTTGCGCAGTACATTTAGATATTTAAATGTTAATCACTTTTTAGATGGTAATGCTTACACCAGTTTACCTTTATACAATAATGGTTTCATTAACCCTTTATTTGTAACATCTGCTTCTCAGACTGCTTAACTTTTGTTTGTTATAGAGTCTGCAATGGTTTCCTATCTCAAACTCTGTAGTTATTAGAGTGGCAATTATTTTCAAGAAGTTCCTAATTTTATTTCTCTCAACCCTAAAATCAGTTTACAATATCTAAAAAATAATTATTGAATATTTTCTGATTTTTTTAAAACGACATTAACCAATGTAGTTTTATTTTAGTGGTTCAAATTGAACATTTGTTTTAAATGATGTTTCCAGACTTTCAGAGACCTTTGATTTTGATTTCTGGCGTTGCTGAACTTTAATTCAGTGTCAGAGTTTAATTTCTGATGATTCCAGCTGTCAGGAAAAGTCATTCCCGTTTGTAAATTATGGTCATGAAATTACTGACTTTAGCTATGATTTATAGGTTTCTCGGGTCACCGTACTAGAATTCAGTGTCAGATTTTAATTTCTGACAATTGCAGTTATAAAAATTTTTTTACATAAACTGACAACTTCTTGAAAATATTTATTGATTATTTTATTTTAACTGTCAACATTTAAGCCCATAAATAAATACAAATTAATATTCTTTTGGTCTATTACATTGTTGTTTTGAACATGTGTGTTATAAAAACCATTCCGTCAAATCTCATGAAATGTGTACCAGTTCATATCTTGCAGCATTCAGTTCATGTGAAAATCATACTTTTGGTTTTAGTGTAAACAGTTATTTGTGATGTAGGTTAAAATTCGAGGTGATCATTTGTTTGTTTTCATATTTGTTGAGTTTTGATCTAAAAGGTAAATTTTGTTATTTTCACTAATCATTAAATTATGTGTGTACTTTTTGTATATTGTTCCATATTAAATTGCTATTACACTTTTTGTAGCACTGATGAGGTATGCAAATCAGCAGATTAAAGAAATGTTTTGTTGAAAAAATAAATAAATAAACTTGCGAATATAAAATAAAGCTTTAAAACATATCCATACAAATGGCACAATAATCAAATTTTAATATTCATTTATAGAGTATACTGCAGTGTCCTTGCGGGAGGAACCAAATACAAAAGAATGAGTTACACTTGCATCAGACTAAAATGAAAGATTCAATTTTTACCTCCTTGTTATTACAATGAAGAAATAACAGCAGCATTAATGGTCATTTAATAATTATGGATTGGATTAATGGAATCTTTTCCATTAGGTGTTAGTTGTTTGAATAACACAATTTGATTCAAATTTATGATAGCACATAGGAAGAAAAGAATTCAATGCATAACTTTATTTATATCAGAATCAACAAAAATTTGAAAGCAAAGTATAAAGAGGCCACACACAATATTCTAATGAAATATTTTACAGTACATTTACTAAATTTGTACTTACCACAAAGCGATTTACTTTAGGTCGATTTCTCTCCTTTGGTTGTTCCGCTTCATTTTTAAGGGACTCAAACTTTGCACGTAGGGACTTCGTCGAGTCAATGCTTGGTTGGTCTGCCTGATCGAAGTCTAGATTAACACCACTGCTGGAACTATTTAGTTTGTTCTCTTTCTCCTCCCATCGTTCAAATTTAGCTCTCAGAGCTTTTGCTCGTGCAGCTGTTGCGGCCTGATGGCAGAATAAATCTATTGTAAAATTGCTAGCCAGCACACTTTAAATGCATATCATTAATTAAAAGTAGTCTTACTGGAACTCGCATGCAGTCAAATGCCTGAGAACGATCTTTTTAAGAGAGGTAATCATGGTTATATGGTTCCCCTTCACTTTTCCGCAGTAAATCCTCTGATAATCCACCATAATCAGATCCTGTATTTACTCATCTTAGAACAATGCAAATAATGTATAAATATGACTATTGTTGCAGAGGTTGCTGATTGCGAATACCTCAGTGAACAACTAGCTAGTAAAGAAATTTCAAAAATTCCATTCATGCAACCAACTAAGAAGAGGACCAATAAATCAGTTTTGAAGTGCTAGGACCAACTAGAATAATCTGTTTCAGTTTGGAAGACTTCACACTACTTTGATATCCTCAACATTATAATACTTTTGTTGTTGTTGTTGTTGTTGGGGATTTTTTGTTAGGTTCCTTCATTTTTTTGGGGTCAAATTTTACTGTAAGACACCTATACTACTATTAACAAGTGCTTTTCTTTTCCGGTTTTGAGACACAATAGATATTGTACTCTTATTTTCTCGGGTGAAATCTGCAGCCTTGGAGTACTCTTCCATTAAATTTCAGAAACAGATATTAAACATTTTGTTTCAAACTGTTCTTTCTATAATATTAAAATTCTCCATATCTATTATGTTTTGTGCACCTAGTACAGTAAAAACGTTTTTCATGTTTATAGTTTGCTTTCTGCGAGTCCTGGATGAATTATTACATTTCCCATGCTAAATTATTTCAGGTATGCAATTAACGTTTATACAATTTGAATGCTTCATAATGAATGTCCCTTTAAGACCATATAATGTCCAAAACAGCTTACGTGGCCAATAAGGGAGAACATTTACGTTATCGTAGAGGAACCCATTGGAATTTTTATGCTGAATTGAGTATTCTGATCGTTTAATTTTGGCACTATGCAAGATGTTTCAACTGGTTTCAACTCTCCAATTTTGGAATTTGGGACAAAACTACGGGATGCACAAATAGTTGAAAAAACTAGAGTTGTCCAGTGTGGCTTGGCATAATGTTCACTAATATCGCAGGAAAAAAATTTCAGTGCATTTAAAGGAAATATTGAAATACAAGAAAATCTAAGACTTACATGTCAATTTGGCCAGAGTCATACGAGCATTGCATTGACATGTCACCTAACGCTGATGACTTCAGTAGCTTCGATGCCAGCACACGAGTCATGTAATGCGCGTCATAGATTAACGTATTATCTTATATGAAACTACACAAACACTCTTGCCCATGCGAGTTGCCTAGTGGTTGTCATACCTTGAAAGCTAGAAAACATGTGTTATCATGATTTAAACTGTAGCTTGAGCTGTGGGCACAATGCACATTGCCAAGATCACTCTAGTGCCGTTTTGCAAAAGATACCCTGTTAACCTATGACATGTGTTAAGCGACTTAAGCACAGGCATCGATGCATGTCCACGCAGCTGACATCCTCAGCGTGGTGACACACATCAATGCAACGCTCCTGAGACACAGGACAGAAGGACTGTCTGACTGAAGTGTGAATATTAATGCTAACTTTTCCACTGGGCATGCCTATGCCTGGCCCACATGTCTTCTAAGTAACAAATAATGTACTTCAGCTTCTGAATTAATGACCGGTACTTCAGCTTTCGGTCTCATTCAGGTTTTTGTCCAGTTTCAGTCGTCCACTGAGCAAATGCTGAGATAGCCCCTTGTTTTGCTTCTGAACACAAATGTAGCTTCACCTTTGGCTAATTGTGTTAAGAATAGAGCAGGGGGGGGGGGTACTATTTAGTTAGCAATACAAAAATAAAATGAAATCAAACCTGAAACTTTTTTACTGATGCAAACATGTTTTCTATAACTTGAGAGTAAAAATGTCCAGTTTTTAACAGGTGGTAATTTTGCTTCTTTTGAAACTTTTATTCATCATTCAACTACCATATTTACCCAAATATAAGACTACTCGAATATAAGATGAATCATGTTTTTACACCTTGAAATTCGGAAAAAAATACACCCCAATATAAGATGACCCTTGTTTTTATAACTTGATATCAGTTTCCAACTAGGTAATGAAATTGAAGAAAAAAAAATCTATATTCCTTACATGTTTATTAACATTATGCATAAATTATTTTGTGCATATCAATATGTTACACAGTACATGAGTAGAAGTTTAAATTTTACCATATCCACATTCATCATTTAATCATCTCTCATTCATCATCTTCACTAGTTTCATTGTCACTCGACTCATGTCCATCATTCTCACTCCATAACACATGATCTTCTGTGCTATCCAGACTGTTGCTTACACAGCACTTTTTGAAACCTTTCATTGTGCATTGAGTTGATATAGTATTCCATGCAGTTAGAATCCACTGACCAAGCTGTCCAACTGAAGGTTTTTTTGATGTCAGGAGTAAACGGGCAGTTCCTGATAACAGCCACTCTTCATATTGGTGTCTGCGTTGGTGCTTGAAAGTTTTGTTCACAGCCACATCAAGGACTTGCAACTGTGAGGCCATGCCTCCTGGTATCACTACTAACTGTTTTTAAACTAGCAACCTTCTTTTTCACATCTCCTGTAAGGTGGCCCTAAAGACATCAAGGGTTAACAATCCTCTCTGCAGTAATAGGGCTCCCAGTATCTTCTTGAAGCCACGAAATCATTAAGCTTTTAGTCATTCACCCACATTCATTGCATTTAAAAATTATTCCACTTAGTAGTTTTTCTTCAGGCAAATTCTTCCTTTTCAACATAACTAATTGTGGTAGCTTCCTGCCATCTGCCAACACTCCCAGCATGACCATAACATGCATTTTTGCATTTCCAGATGTTTTTATTATAACTGAATTTACACCCTTTTGTAGCCACTGTATTGTTAGAAGGCATGTCAAAGTACACAAGGGTCTAATTGATATTCCCCATTTGACTCAATAAATGGTCGTGTTGATGGCACAATTGTATAATGTACTTTTGGTACTCCAGAAGATTTTCCTCATAATCTGCAGGCAGCTTTTGTGATAGGGAAGATCTACGCAAAGTGAATCCTTTCCTTCTCATAAACCGTATGCACCAGTCGACACTCGCATTGAATTCCTGTCTGGAAAGGTTTCTTCTTCTTGCCACTTCTAATGCTTTCATGCGAAAGCTGTTTATAGAAACTCCGAAACCCTTGTTACGATTTATTACGGGTTCGACAACTTCATTGTCGATTTCGGGATAGCGCCCCTCTTGTGGTCCACGGAAACATTTCCTTGGGGAATCTTAATATTTCAGGCATTCCTTCCAATGCCTTACATTTCCTTCACTTATTGCATAACATTGTGCAGCATCACTATTGTTCGTTTGTTCAGCAAGATGACTTACTTGCAATTTAAAGCTTGCGTCGTAACTATTACGTTCCACATTTCTGGTAAGTTCTACACTTCCTCTTTTCTTCACGTGGTTAGCCATTGCCACACTCATGTATCAGCACACAGCTACACAACACAACCACCAAGCACCAACACAACTACTAAAGTCACAGTACTCAAAGTCACAGACACGGATGGGGAAGGAAGGCTCGTGGCCTACGAGTCTCTCTCGTTGTCCATGAGGAAGGCTTTGGAGACATCACTGCTGTTACAACACTGCTAACTGCCTCTAAGAAAAACTTAAATCCTATCTAATGCTTCTGAGTAACGGCTGGGAAAATTATTCTACATCTTATTATTTCAGTTATAAACACATCCAATAGTAATAAAAAAGAGGAATTTCTATTACAAATGACTTTTTTTGTGTAGATAACTTGTATTATACCAGTAACAACATAATACTGTTGGTATTGCGTTTTCTTCATATGTGAATTTTGCATCATAAGCCAATATTAGACTACCTCCAATTCTTAAAGGATGAAAACAGGAAAAAATCCTCATTTGGCTCAAGAAAACATGCTCAGATGGTGCTTCTCCCCAACATGTCACAGAGTTTATACTGTTCCTTGACTAGATATCTAGACTAAATAAATCAAAACTAGGTTCATTGGTCCAAGAGTAAATATAAAGAGTTTTTATTTTGCTCATAATATTCAATTTCAGTTATGCATTCTTCCCACTTACACATTTTTTCCCCTTCAGTCCCCTCCAAAACATACAAGTGAAGTTTTACACATTAATAACGAAATAACTATTGTCAAATTCCACTTACTTGTTTTAAAAATTCATCCTCCACTTTATCAGAAGCTCTGACAATGTTGGGGTTTCCATCTTGTTGGTCCTCTTCCTCCTCCTCTTCTTCCTCTTCCTCCTCTTCATCTGACTCTTCCTCCTCTTCTGAGTTTCCTGATTCATGTGTATAATCAGGAGGTGGTGTGAATCTTTTCAGAGGTTTAGGACCTACAAAAAATAACATTGTACCAGTTGTAGTACCGTGAGTCTCTGTATGCAAAAAGTATAAAGTACAAAAATAGTAGTAGAAGTAGTTTAAATAGTATAAAATCAACAAAACAATAATAATAACGAAAATAATAATGGTAATAATAATAATAATAATAATAATAATAATAATAATAATAATAATAATAATATATAAAAAAATAAAGACTTGGCATGTATATATACCAGTATTCAAGTTTAATAAAAGTGGAAGACCCTTCTAAACTGTGACACAGTGTAAATATATTCTCCTCTAAACTTCAAACCTAACCACTAACAAAAGAGGAAAGCAATAATGGTGTAAAAAGAAAGAAAAAAAAACACTCAACGCTTATGTTAATTTGAGAGTGGCAGTGTTTATTAATTTATAATTAAGATTTAACTGACAAAATAAAGTAAAAAATTATTAGACCATTAAATAAAACTGATCCTGAAAGCCTGAGCACTCAAGGCCATCTCAAGGGGTCTCTGCTTCCTCCGTTCTCTTTACAAAGATCATAGGACGAAGAGGAAGGCCCTATGCCTTTGGCACACATGTTACTTCTTGCACCTTTTGTAGTACAGTTATAGTGCATTTAGTACATTTCTTTATAACTACAAATTAGCTGTAGTTCACAAATTTTTTTATGAATTGTAGCAGAAGGATTTTCTTAAAATTACCTTCTGGAACATCATCTTTTGAAGCATTTTCTTCCATTTGACGGAAGAGTGACAACATTTTGCTGGTGGTCTTAGTTCGTTTGATTTCATCTTCAACTTTGTCTTCACTGCGGACAACATCTGGGTCTCTGTAAATTTCTGTTTCAGGAGAGGTTTCCTGAAAATATTTTGAAAAATTTACTTCAACATGCAGAACAATAACTTAATTTAGAGGATGGTTCAGATACACATGTAGGTAGTTTTGACTGTATTCTCTAAATTTAGCAATAGAGAAATTACAAATAAATGAAAATTAAAGTAGTGAAGAGTATGAATAAATTATCATTCAACATTTAACAGATGCATCAAGAGGAAAGATTTCAGAAAGCCTAAACCATACTCCAACTCCATAACTAGTACAAAGATTTTTCTGATGGTTCTGGCATCTGCGAGATCCTGCAATATTTTTTGTCAGTATTTTCTGCATTTTCATACTGAAAGTAATCTTCATTCCTAAACTTCAAAGATAATTCCTAAAGAATCTCAAGCAATAAAATATCCAAACAAATGTATACAAGCAGAAATATGAATAATAAACTATAATGCTACCTCAAACTCAAAGTGGCTTCCATTTTTGCTGCAAGATGAACCTACTTTTTTTCTATGCCAGCAGTTCTCCTCTTATGACAATTATTTAATAACAAGAGAGCACTCTAAACACACTGGATGAAGTTATTGCAATCAAAATGCAAATTTTTTCTTATTAAAAGAATGACATTGCCAGAGTGCATTTTGTCTCTAACTATGTACACTTATTGCGCAAGTGCACAAATGTTGAACAATTTTGTTTTTATAATTATCATATGTTTAAGATCTGGATCAATATGATTATCATCATCAGTCACTACAATCAAATGCTCCATTCACAAGATCACCAAACTTTCTGAAATTCTTCTTTGCCACAAACAACAGATTGTCATGAACTGACTACTTGAAAACTACCAAATCTTTTGGTAATTGAATTTGATCAAAATTATATTTCACAACAGGCTTCAAATTCACACATACTGAACAAAAAAGGGCAACTACAGGATCAGAGAATTGTGTAAAGTTCACATATCACAGTCAGTGAGAATACTAGTGGAACTAATACAATGTGCCAAAGATCCCTCTGGCTGTCATTTACAGAAGATGATAGAGACTGCCACTTCCTGAATACACTGATAACCATTCAACTTAAAAATATAAGCAACACAACCCATCACAGTTCTAAGATGAAGAGAATTTTGTGAAAGATAGCAATTGCGGGGGTCTCGGAGACCCCATCAAACCAGTTATGGGAGATGGGGAACAACAAGGTTATGGGAGATGTTAAAGTTAAGGGAGATGGGGCAAAACAAGAGGCTACACCAATAGTGAGCTTGAGATGAAATTTTGTCTACTATATAACCGAACTTCTGAGAATACCAACAAATAGTATGTTACAATATTCAGCAAAAACTTTACGTGAAATTGGTTCTCAATATATCTAATGTGAGTTGAGAGAGAGAGAGGAAAGAGAGAGAGAGAGAGAGAGGGAGGAAAGAGAGAGAGAGAGAGAGAGAGGGAGGAAAGAGAGAGAGAGAGAGGGAGGAAAGGGAGAGAGAGAGGAAAGGGAGAGAGAGAGGAAAGGGAGAGAGAGAGGAAAGGGAGAGAGAGAGGAGAAGAGAGAGAGAGAGAGGAGAAGAGAGAGAGAGGAGAGAGAGGAGAGAGAGAGAGAGAGAGGAGGGAAAAAAATATTTTAGTTTTTGTAAGTATTTATCACAAAAAATGCCTAACGTGAAAATGGCAAATATTATAGAATTGTTCAAAGAACAATAAAATTGAAATATTTCATTCCCTAATAGAATTGTAATTCTTAATCCAATTACTATATCTCGTGATAATTATAACCAACAAATATACCTTCACTTGTCCATCTCGAGGAGGTGTAATACGAAATTGCTTTTTCTCTCGCTCAGGCTCTTTATAGGTCTCAAAGAATTTGAATTTGTTGAAAACTTCTGATGTTTCTACTTTAACATCTTCAACAGCATCACTTGCTCTCACTATGTCTTTGGAAATTTGAGGGGAGATCTGAAAATAAAGATTTCCAAGTAGTACTTAAAGATTCAAAGGATTTTTCATGAGAGGGGAAACAACACTTATTGCTGAAAGGCAGAATTTCAATTCACACATAGCTTATTTGAGGGTAATATTTCTTTACTTTTGTACATAATTAATGTAGCCCATTACAATGGCAAAATTACTAGAAAATGTATTAGGAGACTAAGAGATACCTGTTTGGTTTTCCTGACTTCCTCTCTTGGTGTGGGTGATTTCAGAGGAGACATAACTGGAGGAGCTTGATTAGCTTTAGAATCCAATTCCAGAAACAAACTGCGAGATTTTTTGGATATTCCTGAAAAAACCAAATTAGTAATTTATTAAAACATTCTTATAACTCATATACTATATTAATATTATCAACCTCAAAACAAAGAAAATCAATACCTTCTTCAAAAACACCAAGATCATCATCTGTACATTTCTTAGCTTTAGTTTTGGCATCTTCATCTTCATCATCATCTGGTAGAACTTCACCTCTTTCAAATCTCTCTTTGATGCTCTTTGCTTTCTCAGAACGAATATCAATATCCTTCTTCTGCAAACCACGTTCACTATCTTGAACAGCTTGCTCATACATTTCCTTCATTTTACCTTGTTTTCCCTTCAAACAAGAAGTATTTATTCAAAATACAAGTCTGCTATGTATTATTTCAATTAATTCATATTTGTTCTGGCGATGTACCTTACAATAATAACAGCATACGTGAAAAATCTAATGATAATGATATTTAACTGCATTATTGACGAAAATGTGTTCTAATACGAGTTAAAATACTACTCACAAATGGAAGGAGATTAAAATTTTATAAGAGAAATAAAAATAAGATTAAGACTTGAATTTCTCTGAAACAACTGGACAAAAATTTCACATACCATAAACAAACGGGAACGGATATTTTGTATTTCTTGCTTTCTTTCTTCTCGTCTTTCGTCCTTGCTAGTCTGACCAGTTTCCCAACTGCAGAAACAAATTTTACAAAGTAAATTTTCAGTAATCCTTTTGTTTTTCCAAAATTTTAAAATATTGTGCAAATCACCAAAATATTTTTTCACCAAATATTTAAACACAGAAGTAAACAAAAACAATCAGCATAATAACAAAACAATTTAATGCATGTTAATTTTTTGTAAAGCAACAAGCAAACCAGAAGTTTTGCATGAAAACACAAATAGTCTTTCCATCACAAAAATAAAGAAGTGCAAAGAAAAATAGAAAAAGAGTGTGACAGAGACATATCTAGCTAATCACCATAACTAGTCTGGATATGGAAAATTTCAAGCAAAGAAAATAGTGCAAGCATTGAATTAAGTGGTGAAATTTACATTATAAACAGGTGTAGCAAAGAGATGAAGATAAGTGCATCACTACACTTATTGCAAGAACCCACCTTTTCTGAAGAAATATTTTCCTCCTTATATCTATTATATAATAATAATAATAATAATAATAATAATAATAATAATAATAATAATAATAATAATAATAACAACAACAAAATTATTATTATTAATAATAATAACAAAATTAATAATAAAAACCTCAGTGTTAATTAATATAACCCAACTTATGTATATTTGGAAAGTTAAATAACAAAAATATTAATATCAAAGTAAAATTAATGCGGTACTAAAAAAAAACTCACACAACAACAGAAAGTGAGTTTAAAATGTATGACTTTTTAATAAGTTACACTTATTTTGAAAAGGGGAAAACAATTATCAGATTTCCTTAACTCTCTTCTAATTTAAATAATTTTAACAAAATTATGCTTATCTCATTGCTATGAGCTAAGATAATGATGTTTTTGGTTAGTGAGCAGATTTAAACATTCAATAATATTATTAAAAGCAACAGGCAATTAAAATTAAAAATTGCATAAATACCATAACTTCAAGCAAATATTAGTTCTTTTTCTTCCATGTCAAATCAAATGTTCACACTTGTGTTAGTTCTAACATTTCATAGTTGGTCGATGTCATAAGAAAACCCATTTATCACCAACACGACTTACCGGCACTTAATATCACCCATTTTGTTAAAGCTCATAGGTCTCTCTCTCTGTTTTCTGTTGGCACGTATGACACCCTTTTCTCCATCTTCATTTTCATTTTCAGGTTCTTCTTCACTTGATGTTGACGATTCCTCATATGGAATATTGTTTATAGCTTCATCTGTTATACCAATATCCATACCCTTTGCTTGAAATCTGTAAAATTTTAAAGGGGTCCTACTGATGACCGATATTCGTAAACGGCAACAATTCTTCCTGTCATGTAGTTTGTAGATAATCTGTTCCAATCATCTTTCTCAACGAGAAGGTATAAACAGTATTACACAACATACAATTGCCTACGAAGTTTTTTTCTGAAAATCTCATGGCATTCTTAATGCAAATGTGATACTGCTTCACAGAATTTATCTAAGCAGAAATCTTCAACAATACAAACAGAAATCTAAGTTCTGTAGATCAATTTTATAATTTTAGAAGCTTACGAACTATATAATTTTGTACCAGAGTCTTTGTTTGAAAATTGTGGCTGTTGATTAAAATATCTATTTAAAATGGAGTGTAGTAATACCAGTTAAAAACAACCTTTGAGATTCAAAATATATTATGCTAAATGAAGAGGCCTGAAAAGTACATTGTGGCAACATTATACAGAGTTTTATGAAAATAAAAATGGATACAAAAGATTTCAGTGGAAAAATTATAGTTAAATATTAATATTATTCATTATAGAGACAAGTGAACAATGGAATTTATTCATTAGATATAAATAATTAAATGATTTCAATAAAGTTTCTTCAGTTTCAAATACTGCCTACATTCTTACATTCTAATTGTTTTGTTCAGAAATGAAACCTAAACACTTGAAATACAATCTCTGCCTAAAGGCACCAAGATTGAATTACACACGATCAGCATATGACATGACATATACATATACATGGCATCTGCCCATGGAACTGATGAACATGTATACTACAAACTGGCAAATGACAACAGCAAAGACAGTTTCAAACTTTTTTCTTCGATTCTTTTTGTAGACAGTAGAAGTTATGAATCTCTTTAATAGGCTGTTACAACAATTGCCTAATGTACAGCACAAGAAACCAGTATCAGTTGTGTGCTGAATTTTCAATTATATCATTTACATCAATTTACGCCACTATTCTGTGGCACCAAACCTCATCTTGTGGAATCAACATTATACGAAGTATTAATAAAATGAATCTGTCTTCAGTTATGGAGTGTTATTACGATCATCTTTCCTGAAAATTCTAAAAACTTACAAGAACTATTTGTTACATTCTTTGCCTGACACTAACCTGAAAAATTGGGATGATTGACAATTTTTTCAAATGTACAATAAGATAGTCATTCAAACCTCGAAGTTTATGTTTTCGAGCACCTCCTCTTCGATTGGTTCAGAATTTGAAGAAAATGAAAAAAGAAAAAAGAAAAAAGGAGAAAAGAAGAAGAAGAAGAAGAAGAAGAAGAAGAAAAAAGAAAAAAAGGAGAAAAGAAGAAGAAAAAAGGAGAAAAGAAGAAAGAAAAAGGAGAAAAGAAGAAAGAAAAAGGAGAAAAGAAGAAAGAAAAATGGCAAAATTCAGGTGATTTGGATAACAATAAGCTGTAACCCTTTAGAAGGGCATTATCACACACACAGGCATGTGGTGTAGAGAGTACACCATCACCAGCTTTGTATGAGAGTCACAAAATACACTAACACATTTTCATGTACCATAATAAACTTATTGAATGAAAATGTTTTCCTCGCCCTTTTTACATTTACTGTGTTTTGTAATTAAACCATTTTTTTAATCATAAGAATGGCCACATTTTAAATTGAACATCAGAGAATGGGATGATTCAATGTGATCATACCTAGTTTGAAGAACTGATTTGACGACACCTAATTTTATGAAGATACAATCTTGAAATGTATCTTGTTGGATAAAGATGCATTCTTATAATGTACTGCATAGAGATTACATCTTCAATTTTCTTTACTTTTCATAATTTATTCTGAATTGAAAGAATGTCATTCTAACCCGCTCACTCCTCAGAATAGAATACATTAATTTGTTTCAGTAGAATTGATAATTTTGATGATCTGAATGTTTAATCATTAAAGCTTCTTTCCTTATATCTAGCTAATTGTTGTTATGAGAAGTTTGTGGTTCATACTTTTAGAACTTGCATATTGTGGGTTGAATATTTGTACAAATGGTGGGAAGGTAGACTCTGAAATTATATTTTGTCTGCTTTTTGAAAAGGAAACTGTTACAACAGTAATTTTAATTACACACAAATTATCAACTGCATAATGATGCTGTATATTCGGTCACTTCAGATAGCAATTCACTACAAATATTTTTGTTTCATTACAAAATAAAAATTATTGTTTGCAACATTTTGTATATTTGCATGTTTTCAATAGAGATTACCTGGAAAATTAAGTACATAATTGTTCAACAGGAACCAATAACTTGAAATGACTAAATTTGTAGCCTTGCATTTCTTTACGGAGTGTAAAGCAATCTTAACACAGTTCATGATTATCAGCTTTTGAGATTACCGAGTCCCATAATATTGTCAAAAAGCAGTGTTCCTCAAACTCTACATTAAATCAGTTTTACAGGTAACCTTATCTTATTGTGATGTTACTTCTTTTATTCCATTTCTATCCTAAACTCTTCTAAAATGGTATTTTAGAATCTCATTCATACTAAGAAATCAATAAAAGAAGCTACATCAGAAGACCTAAAAAAACTGTATTCTCCATCTTGTGCCATCAGACTTTCAAGTAATTATTTTCTTGAAAAAAGTTACTTTTTCCATCAATTCTAATTAATCACTGCCACGTTTTCTTTTGTTATATGCCATCATGCGAGTCATTTGCAATGTCATCCATCATTCAAATCTCTTCACACTTTGTCTACTATTTTCTTTGATATTTTGTCATTTATTACTTTAGATAATCAACAACCAACACATCCAATATTCTTTCCATGATACCTTTCTATCGTTCCTAGTACTTAGTGTACAAGTTTCAAACAAAGTCAAATACTTTTTCTTCACTATTACAGTATTCACTTACGCAAAATACAAAATTATAATACTGGAAACATCACAAAGAGTATCAAAATAAAATTAATATAATTTAATTTCTGCAAAGACACCACCTCAAAAATATCAAAAAAATTCTTGAAAAATAATGAGTATTATTCAAATATCTACTTAGCTAAAGAATAAAGAAGCTAGCAGCTGGTACACATATGAATTTAACATAGGAGTGGCAAATCTATAGATACAAAAGGTGAAAAAGAGGTCATGATAGATATGAATTTTGTATTTTTACTGGTGAGAGATTTACTGTCTGGAAAGAGAGAATATGGTGCTACCATGCAATAGATTATTTTCCCATGCTTTTTAAGTGCTGATGAAAGAAAATGCATACCTTGCCAATTTGCTTAGGATACTAGGAGATCTCTTTACACTGACAGAACTTGGTGATCTCTCAAGACCATCTTCTGCTGAATCAGTCTTCTCAAAAACTTGGTATCGTGATTTAACATTTAATGATGTTAGCTCATCCAATCCCAAATCTGGTTTGTCTGATGCTAAATTAAAAGACAAAGAACAAAGCAGAGAATGAGTTGAAATAATATATTTTGAAAAAGAAATTCGTACAATATAAAAACACTAGTCTGTATACAAGTGAAACTCATGATGTCCATTTTTGATACTATCTACATCGCTAAGTGCATTTTTTCTATTATTTTTATTAGTGAAATTCTTGAAGTCCTGGTGTTAGGATTTACTACATTTGCTATTATTCCCTTGTTCATTTTTATGTTGCAGAGCAGTAAAGATTCACAGGAGAAATAGATTTTTGGACCCAATTTGTTTCCCCCCTCCTCCCCTTAAAATTAATATTACATATTAAATAAAGTGCAGATTAAAATAACTTGGGTTTTATCTGCTATCAAAAAAATATATCTAGTAAACCAATTCAACCCAATAGGCAACTTGATTTATTTCAAAATATGTTTTCTGGACTTGGCAAGTTTCACTTTTAAACTGACAATAGGTGTTTTGCATTTTTAATAAAAAAACATTTTAGACATATGAATATGTACAGCACCTTGTTAGATCACAAAGCAAGTCAAAAAGAATTTCAAACTAATCCTATCATTTGGCTTACTTTATGACAAATATCCGCACTATGTACATAACTATTGAGTGTGCTGTTGTAGAAGTTCAGTTAGCTTCAGGTTAATCATTATATACCTCACAGGAAAGGAATATCAGCTTTATGCACAATATTTCAGTAAATCAAAGGCATGAAAATGCCAAATCACATAGATTATGAAAAACTTTAGTAGAAACTGTCAACTCAAAGAATTAGGAACACACAAAAACAAAAAAATCCATTTAATTTTCAATACATTAACCAATAATTCAACTGTACACAAGTTTTGCACAAATCACCAGCTTTTATTTGGATTTATTTGCCTATAAAACCAGATCATACTATCCCTTTAACACAATATCATATATTAGGTCCTTAATAACGGCTTTTGCTTCAATATCTCTCCCTCCTTAACAGAGAAGTATTGAAATGAAAATCTTTAAGTCTCTTAAAATGCACCTCCAGAGAAAAATATTCAGAATTTCTTTGGTACAGTCTTGTTGACAGAAAACATGCACTGAATATGACAACACTAATTTATGAATTTCACATGCATAATTTATAGTGTGCTGAAGCTTAAAGAAGTTTTAGCCATCTAATAAAGAAAAATTACTTAGTTTTTTTTACATCTTCACATCACATCCAAGATTTTCAAATTTTACATCCACATCTCTCTTAAAAAGTATTAAGTAAAGATAAATATGTACAATCAGTAAGCCATATCAATATCAAATTTAATACATTGTGTTTTCATTATGAATCTTATAGGGTATCCAAAATCCTATTTCACAACAATTCTTATATTAGTAAGCACATAATATATTAGTAATTGTTTGATTCTTGACACAGGCATCTCTGACACTCAAAAATGGGGGGG